CATGGGGAAAATACCAGAAGACCTAGAGGTCAGGGAGGCAGCCCAAGGGGCAAGAAAAGAAGATTGGAGATAATGAAATAGGGATGTTAAACAGTTAACAGGTAAGCAGTGGGGCTGTGCAGTGAGCTAGGCAGCAGTGCCTATATTAAAACAATTAAGTGCAGCTGTTAACTGGTTAAACATTTTAACATCCCTACAATGAAAATTGCAGGCAGGGAGAGCACTAGTCATGAAGATGTAGGAGCAAGGGGTTGGGGAGAAAAAGCAAAGGTGATCAATATGAAGCAAAGCCAGGGTTAAAAAAGAGGACATTGGAAAAAAAGCAGGTGAGAGGTGGTCATTAAGTCATGGTAGGCAGGGAAGGACTTTGGGGCCACTGCCTTGTCTGTTAAAATGGGGTCTCCTGCTGCTGTGAGGGCTAGCACAGCTAGCTCTGCTGTTAACGTGGCCTTTGTGGAATTAGGCTTTGAAGTGGAAGGGAAAATTGCCCCCCACTCCTTTTCTCTCATCCCAGCAGTCTCTGAACATTCATGAGGTAATAAGTGAATAAACTGTGAATTATGTGAGGTTTCTTAAATTACAATGGACATCTCTAACCAGATTGGAACCTGGCTTGTGACCTTTTCTTTTGGATTCTCACACTTCCAATGTGTCACATAATATCACTTTCCATCTTGCCTCTAGCAAAAATGTCCACCATAATTAACTGCAAAGTGCTTTAAAAAAACTTTTTGTTAAAAATGCTTTGAGCCCTGTGAACTCTCACTGCTAGGTAGAGTGAAGTTTCCTCTAAGACCTTTTGAAGTCAGTGAAGAAGATATACGGGCTCTCGTATTTCTTTTAACTCCAAATGACGGTAGCAAATCTGATTAGTGTGTGCAACCTGAAAGATAAGAAATCTTTGTTTAAATTAAAATCTCAGATCACGGAGAAAAGTTACAAATGTCACTGTCTTGTTACTGATGCAGAATTCAATTTTTCATACCATTTGATTTCCACTCAGAGAGCCTAACCTAAGTAACTTATTTTTGGACCAGGGCACATTTTTAGTTGGTCAGCCATCTCCCCAGAATTCTGGAAAGCAGTTGACACCGGCATCAGTTGTTCAGGGCAATGTAGGAGTCGGAGCATCTTCCACTCAAGGGCAGCAAACATTAAAAGTAATAACCGGACAGAAGACTGCTTTATTTGCCCAGGTAACATTCACATACCAGGTTTGTCTCTCTTCAGATTATATGCATTGTCTCATGGAGGGGTGGGGGCAAAGGATACTGTAACCAATTGTACAAAATATTTCAGCCCTCCTTTGGATTTATTTAGGTAAGCAACAGATTTTGTGTTTATTTTGCATTTTCACTGCCACAGATTGGCTATTAAAAAAAAATCTTAACTAAAAGAAAAAAAGACATCTTTAGCCTTTGAAAAAAGCCCAAAACACGTACTTGTACAATATGTGAAATGTTGAGCCAGATTTTCACACCGTGGTACCTGCATATGTATAATGCAGATAATTGTACACAATATTGCACCTAGTTTTATTTGGATCCAAAAATTGAGTCTTGAAAATGTCCCATATTCCTGCCTGGTAGACCAGCTCATAGACTTCTTAGCAACCTATTTGCAGGTGCAAAAAAATTCAATTTCTCTGAAAATTAGGTCCTTTTTAGAGTCTCTCACTTTGATCCCCCCCAAAATTGGGTCACTTCTGAAAAGGTAGACTTAACTTTAGAAAATGAGCAATTTATAAACAATTGTCAAATTAAGCTTAATGATCTGGCTTCAAAAACATCTCCTCTTGCCCTGGGAAGTATTCTGATTTTTTTCTGCTCTAATACAAAAAAGACATCATTGGAATGGTTTCCGTTAAACTGAACTCTTTTGAAGGCTGCTCCTAGTGGACAAACATCACTGATGAAAATATCAGATGGTTCGTTGAAATCAGTTCCAGCTTCCTCTCAGCTTTCCAAACCCGGCACCACTGTTCTAAGAGTATCTGGAGGGGTGATTACTGCGGCCACGACCCCAGCCATGTCCCTCCCTGCAAATGGAGTTGCACAGGTGAGAACCATTGCAAGTAGATTATAACAGGGATATAAAAGTCAAGCAAAATGTCCAGGAGACAGAGACATTTAAGACAGGTATACATGAGATTTGGAGTGCTTCTGTTCTAATTCTTTGCTTCATTCTTGCATTAATTTGGCATGGACTACACTGCATTTGGGTGCCTCCTAGTTCACTTGCTTGTGACCTCCAATGGGAGGAGGAACAAACTTTATGCTTTATCAACATGTGTGCACTGACATACATGCCTAACCAACTTTGGGTTGGTAGGAAGACAAAAGCTTTACACAGGTATCTGCAGGTGTCTGTAACTATATGTAATCTTTAGTTCCTAACCAATTCATTTTAGAGAAATGACTTCACTGTTTTTTTCCATCAGTAACTTTTTTTCTTCAGCATTGTTAACTTTGTTGTTTTGCCATTTGGGCATATTTTATCATAATCTGTGGAAAGCGCTAGAGGTTGAAAACAGCACAAAGGTTGTCATAACTACCCAAGACAGAAGTTGTCATAACTAAACCAGTTTCTGTTAAAACTTACACTGTTTCTCCTTTAATTTTCTGGTTTTAATCATCATCTGTTATCTGTCTTGGATTTTCTATAATACCCATCACTGTAGTATCTAAGTACCACACTGGTAAACTAGAGCTGCATAGCGAGGTCCCCAAAGTACTGTTGTGTGTGTTCTTCCTTTTGCAGATCTAGAGGTATGTGGATTATAAGTATCTATTTTTGAAATCTAGAGTAAATCCAGTCCTGATGGAAAGGTTTTATCCAAAAGAAAGATCTTGCAGCATGTGCCCTGGTCAGACTTTCAGGCTTCAAATACATATACTGAATTTAGATGAGGAGACAGGAAATTGCAAAGTGCTTAAAGGTCTCCATACAACAGTGCAACAAATAACCAGCAGCAGTTACCTAGTAATGATCATCGTAGATCACTGATACTAATCTGCCTATCCTCCTATAGGTTGGAAGCCTGCAAGATTCATAGTCCTGTGAATTTGGCAGCATTCAAAATTTGATCCTCCTCTTTTTCCCAAAGGGAGACATCCCATAGTGGCTCCACATTTAAATTCCAAAACTATTGGGAAAGAGATAATCCAGAGGGAACCTCAGTTTTTTGGCTTTCTCAAAGTGTAACTTTGGTCCACTGCCAGTTAGAATATAACTTGTATAATTTAAATAAAGGCTACTGGCAAAAATTCAGGAACACCTAAGCCCGGTTTTCAAAAATGACTCTGGCATTAGGAGCTTGGATCTTATTGAAAGTCTATGGGACTTAAGTTTCTGAGTGCCTAAGTCATTTTTGAAAATGAGACATAACTGTTTTTAAGCACTTAGGTACTTAATTTTGCTCTACCTTTTTAAATTATTATTTCAGTCCTGTTGAAATTGTAGTATTTATGTGATGAAGGACACTTACAGGTGTACTAATATGATCCTGTCAGGAAAATAACCTTAACCCTTCTATTGACTTATCCCTTATACTCCCATTCCTACTCTGAGTGGGTGAAACAGCAACATCCATGGTGAAACTACCATTTTTTTAGTTTAGTGGGAGGGGTGTGTGTGTGTGTGTGTGTGTGTGTGTGTGTGTGTGTGTGTGTGTGTGTGTGTGTGTGTGTGTGTGTGTGTGTGTTGAATCCGATTTTCATATTTTTGAGTTTTTCTCTTGCCTGTTGCTATGTGAAAGATCTACAAAAATAAGGCAAACTAACTGCACAGACAAAGGAGTGAAATTGACCATAGGCAAAGTGTTGTCAAATGCATAAAGAAAAAATTAAATATTTTCCCTCTAATCTTTCAGTTATTATAATCTTAGGTGCCTCTTTCCATTTTTACTAGAATTACATTCACAATGCTGGTCACCCATCCACAGTTTGTCTCCAAAAGGGAGAAGAGCCAGAGACCTCTAGGGGTGTTTCTGTTGCCCATCTGTGTTATGCTGAAGCTGCTCAAATACTATGATGAACAGTGGCAGTGCAAAACCCTAAGATCACAAAAGGAACGAATCACACTTCTGTATGAATTTAAGTTACCGGTGTCCCTTTTACACGAGTCTCCTGACTGAACAATGTATTGTTTTATCCACATCTTAGCAACATTAACTGAGCTGTTAGTTGAGCCATTGGTGACGCACTAAAATGAAAGTGACAAAATGTTCTCCTTTTCTCTACTCATGGCTCTAGAGCAGTGGTTCTCAACTTTTCCAAACTCCTGTCCCCCTTTCAGGAGGCTGATTTGTCTTGTGTACTGCAAGTTCTACCTCTCTTAAAAACTACTAACTCACAAACTCAGAAATAAAAATACAAAAGTGCCAATTACTGAAAAATTGCTTACTTTCTCATTTGTACCAGATAATTACAAAATAAAGTGTGGGCTTAGGTTGAGAAACACTGGTATGGTCTATAATTCAGTATAAACTAGTCATTGTATGACATTTTAGTTAGTAGTGACTTAGCTGGTGTATCAGAGGCAGCAAGAGAGTGGAGCAGGGCCTCGTGGCTGTCTCCCCACGAGCACTGGTGTCGCAGGACTGCTTGTGGGTCCACTGCACTGGCTTCTGGCCTCACCCCTGAGGGACCATATTAGGAACCGCGTAACCATTAAAAATTGTTGCAGCTATACAATTACTAAAAAACACACAATCTAACATCCCTATTATAAAACTAGGCAAGTATTAGACGAGTTGATGAACTCCCTTGAAGACCACTGTGTACCACCAGAAGCACACATACTCCTGGTTGAGAACCACAGCTCTAGAATTCTGAGCAGCAGTGAAGTATTCAAGATTCTTATAAACGTCTATGCTATGCTAACTCATCTCACTAAGGAGATGAGTAAGCCACCTGTGTGAATAGGGAACTTGAGCATTGTTCATGAAGTTCCAGTGGTAGCATGGTAATTCTTACATATATTATAAGTGGCTGTCTTGTCACAAACCAATTCTACTAGCCAGATACACAGAGAAGCATTGGAATTAGAGTTCATCCGCAAATTAAATTCACATGCTAGTGGACTCAGTCCATTATCCAGTCATCCATTGAATTTAATGTGATGATTGGGATACTATCAACTTAACAGGCGATGAACAGCTCTTTGTGTAGATTCCTGTGTCAGGAAGGATACTATCAATTGACTTCGATTTTTATCTCCTTCATTTTAACTACCCAATCTTCAGATTCTTACTTACTGATTCCCTCTAGCTCCCTGTTTCCCACCCCCATCCTTTTGTTTTCTACCCCATCTCCCCCTCACTCCTGTTTATTTTGGGTCTGCACATCCTAAACTCAAAACTCCTGTCATCTGAAAAAGTGGGCTGTGCCCACGAAAGCTCATGATATCATCTGCATGTTTTGTTAGTCTATAAAGTGCAGACTAACTCGGCTACCTCCTGAAGCTTCTTACATGTATGGTCTGTTTCATTCCCGCTCAGAACCCCAGGGCACAGGCAACTGGTGAGAACTATAAATCTTTTGGAAATATTTTTAAGAACTTTTACATGACAGTGTTATATAAAGATGATAGGATTGTGGAGATATATATGCAGTTGCTTTTACTTATCTTGGCTCCTTTCTAGAACTATTACACATTATTTTAAATGAATTTAATGTTGCCATGTCTCTCTCTTTAATATAGCAAGTAGATGGGGCAGGTTCCAGTTCATCTTCCAGTGTGGGTCCTGTGACAAAGCCCTCAGGGCAACAGCACCAAATCTGTATAAACCAGGGGCAGTCTGGTTCATCAGGAGCAGGTAAAACTGCTTCCTCTACGGTTGTAAGTGTTGCTTCCTTGATGACCACACCAACCCCTGTTTCTGGGAAAGCTGCTGTATCAGGTAATATACTTGGTTTCTGCCTGTTATTACTAAAATTTAGATTTGAGTTATAACTCTTTCAGATACCTTGTACAGTAAACAGTAGAATTCAGAGCACCTGCATTTTTGAGCTCTTACCAGAAAGTAATTATAGATTTAGCTATTTGTGCTAATTTCTAAAACCTGTCTCAGTAAAATGACTTTTCACTTACAGATAGCAGGTTGCAAAAGAACAATGAAAAGAACAATTTGCAAATTGATTTCTTTAGGCCATTAGCATGTTGAGTGTTTTTGGTTAGCTTAATGACTGTAGCTTTCCATTAGTAGTTAGTGTGGAATCTCTATTTTGGTGCCACTTACCCAAATACATGGTTGTATCAAAGAGAAAACGCTAAAGAGATCTGGGCACTGATACTGCAGATATTGGACATAAGAGTGGGGAAAAGAATGAGACAAATTCTTTGGCTGGTAGTGTTACAAACCCACTGGGCCAAATTCTCTAATGGTGTATCTAGTATACTTTGTTTGAAAAGTAATGAGAGGTGGAGAAAACTGATTATAAAAACAGAGTAAAGTGAACTAAATTGAATCTGGAACATTTGAATTAAATAAGGCAATAAAATGAAGCGATCAAGCCAAAAAGTAGGGTGTTTTTTCTTTGTTTTGATCTTCCATTTATTGTCTTTTACATTTTTCTGCATAATTGGCTTTCAGCGTACATACAAAATGAAGAGCTCAAAGAAGATTTACTGTGCTTAACTCACATAGTTTATAGAATTGGTAAAAAGTAGAAACCCATGATGCTATCATTTAATATTCTTGCAGGCATGTTTTGTTAATTCTTCTCTGCATGATGCCATCTAAGTTGAGACTAGAAGTGGGAAGTAGGGTACATAAGTGACACTGAGGCCTGGACTATAACTAAAACTTAGGTCAACCTAGTGAAGTTGCTAGGAGATGTTATTAAGCTAACTGAAGTACTGGTGTACACATCACTTGGTTGACACAAGAATTCTTCCCCTACCTAGTTACTGCCTTTCAAGGGAGTGGATTTTCTATAGAAATGAAAAACCCTTCTGTCACTTCTGTAGCACCATAGCTGCAGCTGTGCTGCTGTATCACTTGCAGTGTAAACATACCCTGAGTCTATATAGTATATCAGTTTGGAGCAGAGTGGGGAGGGAAAGGTCTGTGTAGAGAGGAAAAGCTCACTTTACTGTGTATATTATACACGTTGGATGTGTCCCATTGTTGTTAGCATCACAGTTGTTTTAAACAGGCAGCTTTGCTGATTCATTCACCAGTTCTTCAGTGAACAGATGAAATCAGTGTAATCTGTTCTCTTCAAACCAAAGACCATGTCCTCTGATGGGAATTGTGCTAATCTAGATGGCTTGTAGCAGAACTAGTTTATATCCATGGCTTAGAAGTTTTGTTTGAGGTTTTTTTTAAATTTATGTCCCCCTTTTTTTCCAGGGCAGAGGGAGGGCTGCTAATTCTATAAGAATGTTAAAAGAAACAGTGGGGGTAAACTGCCTTTTCTAGTGTGGCAAACACTGTATGATAAATACTTAGCTTTTTAAAAATTAATCTTGCATTAGAATTTGCGAAGTGTAGCCACTTTTAGGAAAATGAGCATCTCCCACCCAATAAGCTAATGGACGTTTTGTAATTTCAAAACCCACTGTCTTTGCCTCTTGGGTTCCACATTGTGCACCCGTACAATGATTTCAGTGGGAGCTAGATACCTGCCTGCTTAGTTACTTTTTAAAAAGCTCATTAGGTGCCTTTCTGCTTCTTTAGAGGCCTAAATGACTTTTGAAAATCTGGCCACCTAATACTTCAGTTCACTAACTACTGTTAACAATTCCTTGGTTTAATATGTCAGTTAGTACTAAATGCAAAACCTTTCAAGATACAGGTTTTTTTCTTGTATATAGCAGTATGTAATAGCAATACTTAGTAGCAAATCACCATGTTTTAATGATTATAACCAACCAATGAGAATGGACTTTTCTTTAGGAAAGTTCAAATGAAAAACAAAATTAAAATTAATATTTTAAATCAAGGTTTCCTGCTCTTACTTAAACTATGATTTAAAATGGTTATTTATATCAATCTCTCTTAAGTATGCTGTATACTATTAGCTTTACTTTGCAAGTGCTTATTGTTAAAGGACTTGCAAGGCCCAAGTTTCTGCTTGTGATACTATATTATCTATAAATCTCACCGCAAATATCAAAGCATTGCAATATAGTTATTTAATGTCTCTGTGGGTGTTAGCAGCTATCCAGCTCAACAAAAAACTTGTTTCATAATTCATTGTGAGCCTTGGCTTGCTAAGAAGATAGCCAAAGGTTAGCTTATACCATCATATTTCAAGCAGAAAGGGAGAGAAATAGTAGGGGCTAGACTGAACTAAGCATTGTCTAATGTGTCTTCCCCCTGTCTGCTCCTCCCCCCCACCCTTTCTTTTAGGGTTGTTAAAGATCCACTCAAACCAATCTAGTTCCCAACAGGCTGTGCTGACGGTACCTAGCCAGCTCAAACAGCTCAGCGTAAATACAGCATCTGGAGGTGTCCAGACTATATTGATGCCTGTGAACAAAGGTAAAATGTGGTGGAGAGCATTAGGGATGTGAATGGTTAACTGGTGGGGGTTGGAGCAGCTCCCTACCTACTGCGGGCAAGGGGCCGCTCCAGCCCCCCACAGGGCCCGCCGTGGACAGAGGCTGCTCCAGCTTGGCCTGGAACGACCCCTCCGCCTGCTCTCTTCTTTATTAGTTAACTGGGTAAAAAATATTTTTAGCTGGGTAACCAAATAAGAGGGATTTTACATCCCTAGAGAGCTAGAGATAGTGTTTGATGGTCCCTTTAACATAGCAAAGAGCTCAGCCATTCTTGCCATACAGCATTACAAGGGTTACAAATACCCAGGAAGAAAACATGTATAGGTTGGACCTCTCTATTCCGGCGCTCTCTGGCTTGCCAACATCTAGTCCGGCATGATTTTAATTAGCCAAATGTCTGCTTATCATGGGTGTGGCCACGTTTTCTGCGATCCCATAAAGTTTGTTTACAGCCACCAGTCCTGGCTCTCAGGGTTCTGTGCCATTCTTTTGCTCTAATTAATTTACCCCTACATGTCCTCTAGGAGTCCAGTAAGCCGTGGAAGTGATTGTAATGCTGTTAGACAATATTGACCTCCCATGATGCGGCACATTCTCTGGTTCGGCAGCAGTCAAGTTCTGAGGATGCTGGACTAGAGAGGTTCAGCCTGTAGTGGGTTTCAGTTGTTCCCAAGCTTTCATGTTGCAAATACAATGTAACTTGCTATCAAAGGTTTATAAAATTATCCATCTAGGACAAGGATGAAGCAAGCGCTAGATAGGAGTATCTAGAAGTCTGCAACAAATCAGTTTTATTTTTTTTTTCCTGTTGTCCTTTAGTGATACAATCTCTTTCTACCAGTAAAGTGTCTTCTTCCTCTGCTGTAACAGCAGCCAGTGCGGTTGTACCCAGCCCCTCCACAGCGTCCGCTACTAAAGGTAAAAAATGAATGTTACTTGTCAGTAGCATGCTCAAAGAAACAGATTGTGATGAATGAATGTGAAATATACAGAAGAGAATTAAAAAACTTGGAGGATATTCTGAAAGGTTTCTATAGGTAGTAAAATTTGCATGGTGCCAACCTACCGTTGTGGAACTAGTAAGCTTAGTGAGGCTTATGAGTTAGTTAACTGGTGGGGGCTGCTCCAGTCCTGTGGGGCTCTCCGGTCCGGCTGGAGCAGTCCCCATCTGCAGTGGGCTCTGTTCGGTGAACTGCAGGCAGGGATGCTTCAGCCAGGGCAGCTGGGCTGGAGCAGCCTTCCCACCCACCCCCATTTAAATTGGTTAACTGGTTAAACATAAAGTTGAACTGTTTAACTAAAACAGTCTATATCTACACTGGCGCGATCTTGCACCAGAGCTATGCAAATGAGACTAAGCATGCAAATGAGGCTCGGCAATATGCCACATCTAATGAGCTGCCATTTTTGCAGACGAGGCTCTTGCGCAAGAAGGAGCTGTCTACACTGCCCCTTCTTGCGCAAGAAAAACCCTCTTGCGCAATGCTGTTATGCTGATTATTTTCAGGCATAACAGCATTGCGCAAGAGGGTTTTTCTTTCGCAAGAAGGGGCAGTGTAGACAGCTCCTTCTTGCGCAAGAGCCTCTTCTGAAAAAATGGTGGCTCATTAGATATGCAAATGAGGCTCGGCGATATGCCACGCTTAGCCTCATTTGCATAGCTCTGGCGCAAGATCGCGCCAGTGTAGACATAGCCACAGGGTTTTACCTCTCTAGTGGAAACATGCAGCACTACACGGTAGCGAGCAGTGAGTGTTAATCAAAGCAGAAGCACTGCCCTCGGAATGGTAATTAAGTGATGGAATTGTTGGATGGGGCTTCCCAGCAGAAGTAAATGTCAGTGGCTGTGCCATTTCAGGCCTTGCAGTTGACAAAAAGCCAAGGAACACTTGCAAGCAGTTTTGTTGAAATTGAATCATCATACACACAAGCACCTGATGTTCCTGACCTGACACTTTCTCACAAGAAGACAACTGAGTGCTTTTTGAGTGTGGAGTAAAACTGTGTTTCAGTGGCTCTCCCTCCACTTGATAAGGGATGGCTTGCTAAGAGGGTAGGGTTTGCTTGTGCTAAAAGGATAGAATGCATGCACAAAGTTGGGTGGCATTGCTAGATGTGCGGGAAAACCTCATCCACACTAGTTCAGTGCTGCCCCATGTTCAGTACTGCTCTTTGGAATATGGATGCTAGTGTTCCAGGCAGTTTTGCAAAATTAGGGACCTTAATGTGTCCCTGGGCTCATTGGTTAACCTGCCCGGTTACATGCACTCACTTCTGCTGCCTCCCATGGCAGGGGGAGGAGGGGAAAGGGGGATGGCAGCTGCCTACCAGCACCTGCTCCCTGTGTGCACCAACTCGCACCTGCCCCCCATGTGTAAACGTGTAACCACTGAACATTTCAGCAGTTAAACATTTAACATCCCTAGTTTTGTAAACGCCTTCCTTCCTCCTCCTCCTCCTCCTCCCCCTCCTCCCAAGTAGAATGGTCTGATCAATTGCATAGTTCTTCTGAGCTTTATCAGGTATTTCCCAACTGACGATCAAGAAATCTGTCATTTAAAAATTTGTTCTTTTTCTCTGAAGTCAAGATGGAGCCTGATTCAGCCGGACAGAACTGCAACTCTCTGGTCTCTCAGGATGGTCAAGGAGCAGTAAAAACAGAAGAGAGCTCAGAACTTGGAAATTACGTTATCAGGTCATTGTTCTTTCCTCTCAAGAACTGTATGGTTTAGTCATTGGGCAGGTCCTAGGACATTGTACAACAGTACCAGAACGTTGGCTGGGGAATCGAGTGATTAAAATCTGACAGCCACTGATTTTCTGTAGCATTCCATAATCTGAGTAATCTCTTGACATTCATTTTCTGACCTCAGTTACATCTGTGTCTGCAGGATGTAGTATGAAAATACTGATTTGTGAATTGGCTTGAACTCAGCAGCTAAAAATGAAGCTGTTTAATGGTGCGTAATTGTTTTGGGGTTTGCCAAAAATTTGCTGCTTAGATTATCCATTCACTCAATTCCCACCGCCATTGCATTCACTGGTCAATGCTGGGCTATGGCCCTTGAAATACAGGGTAAAATAATTGGGGGAGGGATAATTAGGCAAGTGCGTGTGTGTTTCACCTCTCTGTGTGCTTGAGCTCTCCCATCACATTTTTGTTACATGTTTTTTTAAAAAATGCCATACCATGCTCTTATTCTGCTGACGATTTCCCTCGTGATAGAACTATAGAACCGGAAGGGACCTCAAGAGGTCATCAGGTCCAGTCCCCTGCCTCATGGGGATTAACCTGCTCTTAAATATCTCCAGTGATGCAGATTCCACAGACCCCCCCTTGGCAATTTATTCCAGTGTTTAACCACCCTGACAGTTAGGAAGATTTTTCCTAACGTCCAACCTATACCTCCCTTGCTGCTGTTTTAGCCCATTGTTTCTTGTCCTACCACTAGAGAACAAGGAGAATATTTTTTTCTCCTCCTTGCAACACCCTTTTAGATACTTAAAAACTACTATCATGTCCCCTCTGTCGTTTCTTTTCTAAACAAAACAAGTCCAATTCTTTCAATCTTCCTCATAGCTCATGTTTTCTAGACCTTTAATCATTTTTGTTGTTTTTCTCTGGACCTTCTACAATTTCTCCCCATCTTTCTTGAAATGTGATGCCCAGAACTGGACACAATACTCCAATTGAGGCCTTATCTGAGCAGAGTAGAGCGGAAGAATGACCTCTCATGTCTTGTTCATAACGCTCCTGTTAATGCATCCTAGAATCATGTTTGCTTTTTTTTCCCCCAACTTTTCACACTGTTGACTTACATTTAACTTGTGGTCCACTATGACCCCTAAAGCCCTTTCAGCAATATTCCTTCCTAGACAGTCGTTTCCCATTCTATATGTGAGAGACTGATTGTTCCTTCCAAAGTGGAGCACTTTACATTTGTCCTTATTTAAACTTCATCCTGTTTACCTCAGACCATTTCTCTAGTTTGTCCAGATCATTTTGAATTTTGACCCTGTCCTCCAGTGCACTTGCATTCCTTTCCAGCTTTGTATCCTCTGCAGACTTAATAATCATACCATCATATGCCATCATCTAAATCCTTGATGAAGATGTTGAACAGAACTAGTCCCAAAACTGACCCCTGCAGAACTCCACTTATGGCCTTCTGGCATTATTGTGAACCGTTAACCATTAGTTATCTAGTCAGTTATGCGCCCACCTTATAGTAGCCCCATCTAGGTTGCATTTCCTTAGTTTATTGATAAGAAGATCATGTGAGACCTTGTCAAGTGCCTTACTAAAGTCTAGGTATACCACGTCCACCGCTTCTCTCGTATCCACAAGGCTTGTTATCCTATCAAAGAAAGCTGTCAGATTGGTTTGACATGATTTGTTCTTTACAAATCCATGCTGGCTGTTTCTTATCACCTTACTATATTCCAGATGAATTCCTTAATTACTTGCTCCATTATCTTCCCTGGCGCACAAGTTAAATTGACTGGTCTGTAGTTTCCTGGGTTGTTCTTATTTCACCTTGTAAATATGGGCACTATATTTGCTCTTTTCCAGTCTTCTGGAATCTCTCCTGACTTCCATGACTGGACTTCCATGAATCTCTCCCGTCTTCCATTTTCGAAGATGATAGCTAAAGGCTCAGATACCTCCTCTGTCAGCTTCCTGAGTAGTCTAGGATGCATTTCCTCAGGTCCTGGTGACTTGCAGACATCTAACTTTTCTAAAGAATTTTTAACTAGTTCTTTTATTTTAACTTCTAAACCTACCCCATTTCCACTTCTGTTCACTGTGTTAGGCATCCTGTCACCATCCATCTTCTTGATGAAACCTGAAACAAAGTCATTAAGCACCTCTGCCATTTCCAAGTTTCCTGTTACTGTTTTTCCCTTTTCCCTGAGCAATGGGCCTTCCTCTTGCTCCTAATATACTTGTAGAACATCTTGTTACCATCTATGCTGCTAGCTAGATTTAGCTCATTTTGTGCCTTTGCCTTTCAAGTGCCTTACCTGCATACCTGTATTGTTTGCTTATATTCATCCTTTGTAATTTGACCTAGTTTCCACTTCATCAGATGAGATGAAGAAGTGGGATTTGCACACCAAAGCTCATGGTTCTCTCTCTAAGGTGCCACAGGACTACTTGTTGTTTCCAGAGATGGAGATTCTACATTGTTACAGTGTTAGGTACCATAAGAAATAGGAAGTTTCCTAAAAGTTCAACCTAAACCATCTATGCTGCAATTTAAGCCTATTGTTCTTATCCTAGGCTCCAGATTAAAAATACCCTGACAGTTAGGAACTTTTTCCTCATGTCCAACCTAAACCTCCCTTGCTGCAGTTTAAGCCCATTGCTTCTTGTTCTATCCCCAGAGGCCAAGATGAACAAGTTTTCTCCCTCCTCCTTATGACACCCTTTTAGATATCTGAAAACTACTATCATGTGCCCCCTCAATCTTCTCTCTTCTAAACTAAACAAACCTAATTCCTTCAGCTTTGCCTCATAGGTCATGTTCTCTAGACTTTTAATCATTCTTGTTGCTCTTCTCTGGACCCTCTCCAATTTCTCCACATCTTTCTTGAAATGCGGTGCCCAGAACTGAAAAAAATACTCCAGTTGAGGCCTAACTAGCACAGAGTAGAGTTTGCTTATGTTTATCCTTTGTAATTTGACGTGGTTTCCACTTTTTATATTACTACTTTTTGATTTTTAGATCATATAAGATCTCCTAATTTATCCAAGGTGGTCTCCTGCCATACTGTCTTTCCTATGTAGTGAAATAGTTTGCTTTTGGGCCCTTAATAATGTCCCTTTAAAAAACTGTTGTTTTTCCTCTTCGTCTTGCTTCCCATCAGACCCTACCTAGCAGCTAAGACTTTGTCTCTGTTTTGCTTGTCTCCCTTCTACCATTCCGTAGAATTATGAACTCTATGATTTCCTGATCACTTTCTCCCAAGCTGCCTTCCACTTTCAAATTTTCAACCAGTTCCTCCCCATTTGTTAAATGCAAATCAAGAACAGCTTCCCCCCAGTAGCTTTCTCAACCTTCTGAAATAAAAAATTGTTTCCAGTGCAGTCCAGGAACTTATTGGATAACCTATGCCCTACTGTGTTAATGGGTTTTTTTAAAAAAAGCCTCATCTGCCTCTTCTGCCAGGGCAGGTGGTCTGTAGTAGACCCCTAGCATGACATCACCCATGTTTTTACCCCTTTTAACCTAACTTAGAGACTCTCAGCAAATCTGTCCCCCTATGTCCATCTCCACCTCAGTCTGTGTGTTCATTTTTAATATATAAGGCAACACCTCCTCCTCTTTTTCCCTGCCTATCCTTCCTGAGCAAGCTCTTCCCTTCTATACACATGACTGGAATATTGGTATTATCCCACCAAGTCTTTGTGATACCAGCTATGTCCTAGTTGTATTTATGTATTAGCATTTCAGGTTCTTCCTGCGTATTGCCCCATACTTCTTGCATTTGTATATAGGCTCTAAGATACCAATTTGCTTTTTTTTACCTCCTGTATCTCTGTTGCTATAGCCCATGCTCCCTCCCATTTCTGAGCCATCTCGCATTTCTCCCATGTTTTTTACTGACCTGTGGACTTCGGTCACCTGCCCCCTTTGAACCTAGTTTGAAGCCCACCTCATTAGGTTAGCCAGTCTGAATCCAAATGCTCTCTCTTCCCCTTCCTTGAAAGATGAATCCCATCCCTGCTTAGCAGCCCTTCTTGGAACAGCATCCCGTGGTCAAGGAAGACAAAGCCCTCCTGGCAGCAGCATCTTCGCAGCCGCAGGCATTCACCTCCAGTTGTATTTGTCTCTGCCTGGGCCCCTACCTTTGACAGGAAGGACTGAAGAGAACACCACCTGCACGCCAAACTCCTTCGCGCGTACTCTGAGCGCCGTAGTCACTCTTGAGCTGCTCAAGGTCCCACCTTGCAGTATTATTTATGCCCACATGAATGAGTAGTGTGGGGTAAAAGAGGGCTGGATAATCCTTGACAATGCCTCCGTAACATCTCAGCAGGCAGCATACCTCCCTAGATGACATGTCAAGATGACAGATGAGGGACTTCGTCTCCCTCAGAAGGGAGTCTCCAACCACCACTACCCTGCATTTCCTCCTTGCAGTAGTGACTGCAGACTTCCCAGCCTTAAGGGTATGAGGCTTCTCCTCTTCTGCCTTAGGGGGTATCCAGAGAAGCATAATGGTTGTCTAGAACCACGGTGGGAAGGTTGGGAGCAGATAGGGGTGGAGCACTGCCTGCTGATAGAAGTAAACAACTGCTAGTGTACCCCCCAAGACAGAGCCATCTCCTCCTCCACCAGTGGTGTGTCAGCAGTCTTATGTAACGGGATAGCTTCCTCAGTGGTCTCCACATGAATACTCTCCAGTAATTCCTGGTGGATTCAGATGTTCCTCAGCCTAGCCACCACCTCCTGTAGCTCTTCCACCTGTTGCCTAAGAGATTCCACCAGCAGGCCCCTTTCTCCCCAGCCTGGATTTCAGTAAGTGGGAATTGAAAGCCACAGTCCCTGCAAAACCACACCAGGATCTGGGTAGAGACATCCATGCTCAGGTGGTCTGTCTGGCTACAGGCGCAGGTGGAGGAGATAAAGAGTGCTGACACAGGTGTTGGGACTCCTCTGTCAAAACTCCCTTTCAGACTCCCCTGTCGGCAGCCGCCTGCCTATCTACAAATCAATCAGCAGCCAATTTGCTGTTTGTGTCACCAGTTGGTTATAAATAACTTCACAGAAATACTGTTTATCAAACATGTTATCATACGCCTGATTCATTTATTGCATGTATGACCATGTGGGACATAGCTGTCATGTGCATAGCATTGTAGAATGAGGGACTGACATGAAAATATTTATTCAAAGCAAGTGTTAATATTAGCACATTTTTTTCACGATTTTTTTAAAATTGACAGTGATGTTAGAACTGTGTATATCTGATTTTTCTTTTCTAAAAAGTAATTACTGTAAATTAGCATATATAACCCGCACTCATGTATAACCCGCACCCATGCATAACCCGCAGTTTTTCCTGAATGAGTAAAAAAAGTTTTAGATAATCCACGGACGTGTATAACCCACGGGTTATAGCCTGTGGGTTATATACACTACTTTAAGGTACCTGGTAATTGCACATACCAGCCGTAGCCTCCGGGAGGGGGGAATGGAAAGTGCAGTGCAGGTGAGCTGGCCAGCCTGCAGGAGGGGAGCCTTGCTCACGCCCAGGTTCTGCACAGCCGCAGCCAGGCAACCCACCCTCCTCTGGAAGGTGGGAAACAGAGAGCGCAGGTGAGCTGGCCAGCCTGCGGGACTTTAAGGTACCTGGTAATTGCACATACCAGCCGTAGCCTCCGGGAGGGGGGAATGGAAAGTGCAGTGCAGGTGAGCTGGCCAGCCTGCAGGAGGGGAGCCTTGCTCACGCCCAGGTTCTGCACAGCCGCAGCCAGGCAACCCACCCTCCTCTGGAAGGTGGGAAACAGAGAGCGCAGGTGAGCTGGCCAGCCTGCGGGAGGGGAGCCGCACTCGCGCCCAAGCAAGTAAAAATAAACTTGTATACCCCACAGATACGTATACCCTGCAGGTTTGCGGGGTTTGTAGATTATATGCACTCAAACACGGTACTATTCACTGTGATCTTTTTTTTTTTTGCAGCATAGAACATTTGGAGAATGTCCAGCAACTTTTAACAGCGATAGTGAAGAAAGTTCCATTAATTGCTGAGAAAAGTAAGATTTGTATGAAAACAATCAGTTTGTTCTTATAGCACCAAAAATGTGCATGGCACTTTGCAGCTGGGAAAATTCCACATCAGAATGAAGTGAAAACACTGTGCCACAAAGCTTAGGTTCAGTTCTGTTGCTTGCAAAATACTTAGGAAGCTAAAGCAGTCCAATCCTGCCAACAAAGTAATAGCTGCTGTTGGCAGTTCCGAGGGCTGGTCTGTACTACAGCTATAAGTTGATCTAACTTATGCTACTTCAGTTATGTAACTTAAATCGACATAACTTAGGTCATCTTACACAGTGCTGTGTCTACAGAGTGCTGTGTTGATGGGAGATGCTGTCCCACTGACTTCCCTTATGCTTCTCAGGGAGCTGGAGTAATGGAGTTTTAAAGAAAGAACACTCTGCCATTGACTTAGCGAGTCTTCATCAGACCCACTAAATCAATACCTCTGCCTCAATCACATCAGTGCCAATCTAGCTGTAAACATAGATAAGCCCTAATATTCAATGTCTTGCCTGTATGAGGGAGGCAGTGTAGTTCTCAATAGAATAAAGGTGCTTACCTGACCAATGATGGCAGTTTTTAGGCAATCATCACACTGTTTCATCTGACATGGATCAAGAAAGGTCCTTTTTAATTGCACACCCACACACCACCCATATATGTGGTTGGGAAATGTACTACTAATGATGTTTTCCTAATAACAAATGTACTTTGATGAGGCGAAGCTTCTGGAGACTGGAAAGGACTGATTTTGAACATAATCAGTAGCATGAGCAAAATGGTGCTGGTGGTCAGTACAGTAAAGTGGTGGTACAATAAAGTTTTCGTTATTTTAGAAGCTTTATATAACACTAATGGATCTGCTGCTTGGGTGTTAATTCCCTCCTTCTAAATTCATGGCAGTAGACACTTCTTGAGATTTTTTTGTTTTGTTTTATTGTTGCATTTTATCTTTATATTTCTAATTGTTAGCCAAATAAGTGCTATCAGAAAAGAAAAAATACTTCTGATAGCAAAGCGCACCACTGGACTTCCTCAGTTATGTTTTATCTTTGGGGAGTTTAAAGCTGGCTCCACGTGTGTCAGCAAACTTGAAAAAGAGAGTGTGGTGGTACAACTATGACCATATGTGCAGGGAACGCTTTGTAGGAGCATAGAGCTCTTTATGCTGTGTGGACTGCACACGGAGGAGCCATCTTTCCCATTCTCCCCACCAAGCACAATGTATTCAAAGACCACCTATTTTTGGATTTCAGGAAAAGCCAACAGCAGCGTACATTAGATTTCATAGTTGTTAAAATTTAACTCCAGTTTTTTGGCTCTTTAGGTGAAGATGTCAGTTCTTTCCGTGCCAGTTCAGTAGAACAATATTACAGCTGGAATATTGGAAAACGGAGGGCAGCTGAGGTAATTTTCTCTTTCCATGTTTTGTAAGCATTGGTGGGGAAACTTATAAAACTGGGGAACCCTGGAACCATAACATTCTGATATATTGGATATGGAGGTATGTTTCACAATAGCATGTGTGGAGAAGCACATGGATCGGACAGAGGCATCTCTTAGGGGAGGATCTATTAATAGAGATTCTCTATGGTCTAGTAAGGAGGAGAGGAAGACCGCTGATTAAAATATGGGTAAGATTAGAAACAATCACGTGAAGAGTCTAACGCATCAGAAAATGGCAGACAGATAAATCATGATACATTTTTAAAGTGCTTATACACAAACATTAGAAGTCCACATAATAAGATGGGTGAAGTAGAGTGCCTCATATTAAAAAAGGATATAATAGGCATCACAGAAAGTTGGTGGATTGAGGACAATCAATGAGACACATTCATACCACAGTACCGAATATATCGGAAGGACAGAACAGGTCGTGCTGGTGAGGAAGTGGCACAATACCTGGAAAAAAAAAATGTAGACTCAAATGAAGTAAAAATCTTAAATGAATCAAAATGTTCCATAGAATCTCTCTGGATAGTAATTCTATGCTCTAATAATATTACTATAATGGTAGGAATACGTTATCGACCACCTGACCAGGATAGCGATAGTGACTATGAAATGCTAAGGGAAATTAGTGACTATCAAAATAAAACACTCAGTTAATAGTGTGGGATTTCAACTATCCCCATATTGACTGGGTACATGTTACCTCAGGATGGGATGCAGACACAAAATTTCTTGATACCTTAAATGACTGCTTCTTGGAGCAGCTGGTTCTAAAACCCACAAGGGGAGAGGCTATTCTTGATCTAGTCCTAAGTAGAGCACGGGATCTGGTCCAAGAGGTCAATATAACTAAACCGCTTGGAAATAGTGACCATAATGTAATACAATTTAACATCCACATAGTGGGAAAAACACCTCAGCAACCTAACACTGGCATTTAATTTTAGAAAGAGGAACAACACAAAAATGAAGATGTTAAAAATTTAAAGGTACAGTGGCAAAGGTAAAATCATGCAAGATGCACGGAAACTTTTCAAAGATGCCGTAACAGAGGCCCAAATTAAACAGAGTAAGAGAAATACAAAAAGTGCCACTGTGGCTAAACAACCAAGTAAAAGAAGCAGAGAGAGAGAGAGAGAGAAAGGCAGATAAAAAGGCATCATTTTAAAAAGTGGATGTTAAATCCTAGTAAGGAAAATAAAGGAGCATAAACTGTCAAATTAAGTGTGAAAATATAAGAGGAAAGCTGAAAAAGGAGTTTGAAGAACAGCTAGCCAAAAACGCCAAAAGTAATGGCAAAATGTTTAAGTACATCAATAGCAGGAAGCCTGGTAAACAATCAGTGGAGCCCCTAGATGATCGAGATGCTAAAGGAGTACTCAAAGACGATAAGGTCATTGCAGAGAAACTAAATTAATTGCTTTGCTTTGTTTCGGTCTTCATGGCTGAGGGTGTTAGGTTGTCAAACCTAAGCCAGTCTTTTTAAGTGACACATCTGAGGAATTGTCCCAGAATGAGAGATAATTAGAGGAGTTTTGGAATAAATTGATGGATTTAACAGTAACAAGTCACTGGGACAAAATGGCATTCACCCAAGAGTTCTGAAAGAACTCAAATGTGAAGTTGCAGAGCTATTAAATGTGGTTTGTAACCTGTCCTTTAAATCAGCTTCTGTACCTAATTACTGGAAGATAGCTAATGTGACAGTATTTTAAAAGGGCTCTAGAGGTGATCCTGGCAATTACAGACCAATAAGTCTAATGTCAGGGCAAATTAGTTAAAACTGTAGTAAAGAGTAAAATTGTCAGACACATAGATGAACATAATTTGTTGAAGAAAAGTCAACATGGTTTCTGTAAAGGAAAATCTACTAGAGTTCTTTGAGGGGTGTCAACAAGTATTTGGACAAGGGGGATCTAGAGGATATAGTATACTTAGATTTCTAGAAAGCCTTTTACAAGGTCCCTCACCAAAGGCTCTTAAGTAAAATAAGTTGTCATGGGATAAGAGGGAAGATCCTTTCATGGATTAACTGGTTAAGAGAGGAAACAAAAGGTAGGAATAAACAGTAAGTTTTCAGTGGAGAAACTAGTACAGTAAACTTCCGATAATCCGGCATATTTAGGACCCAGGGGGTGCCGGATTATCAGATATGCCGGACTATCAGAAGGGGGGGGGCCTATGGGATGGGG